ACTTCCTTGGGCAGCCCATTCCAGTGCCTCACCACTCTTACAGTAAAGAACTTCTTCCTTATGTCAAATCTAAACTTCCCCTGTTTAAGTTTTAACCCATTACCCCTTGTTCTGTCACTACAGTCCCTAATGAAGAGTCCCTCCCCAGCATCCCTATAGGCCCCCTTCAGATACTGGAAGCCTGCTATGAGGTCTCCACGCAGCCTACTCTTCTCCAGGCTGAACAGCCCCAACTTTCTCAGCCTATCTTCATATGGGAGGTGCTCCAGCCCCTGATCATCCTCGTGGCCCTCCTCTGGACTTGTTCCAACAGTTCCGTGTCCTTTCTGTGTTGAGGACATGAGAACTGCACACAGTGCTCCAAGTAAGGTCTCATGGGAGCAGAGTAGAGAGGCAGGATCACCTCCTTCAACCTGCTGGTCACACTCCTTTTGATGCAGCCCAGGATACGGTTGCTTTCTGGGCTGCAAGCGCACACTGAAGCCAGCTCATGTTCATTTTCTCATCGAGCAGCACCCCCAAGTCCTTCTCCGCAGGGCTGCTCTGAATCTCTTCTCTGCCCAGCCTGTAGCTGTGTCTGGGATTGCTCCAACCCAGGTGTAGGACCTTGCACTTGTCATGGTTAAACTTCATGAGGTTGGCATAAGCCCACCTCACAAGCGTGTCAAGGCCCCTCTGAATGGCATTCCTTCCCTCCAGTGGATCAACTGAACCACACAGCTTGGTGTCATCGGCAAACTTGCTGAGGGCGCACTCAATCCCACTGTCCCTGTCAGCAACAAAGATGTTGAACAAGACCGGTCCCAACACCGATCCCTGAGGGACACCACTCGTTACTGGTCTCCAGCCGGACATTGAGCCATTGACCACAGCCAATTCTTTATCCACCGAGTGGTCCATTCATCAAATTGATGTCTCTCCAATTAGAGACAAGAATGTCGTGTGGGGCAGTGTCGAACGCTTTACACAAATCCAGGTAGATGACATCAACTGCTCTACCCCTGTCCATCAGTTCCATAGCACCATCATAGAAGGTGACCAAATTGGTGAGGCAGGATTTCCCCTTAGTGAAGCCATGCTGGCTGTCACCAAGCACCTTGTTGTTTTTCATGTGCCTTAGCATGCCTTCCAGGAGAATCTGCTCCAAGATTATGCCAGGCACAGGGTTGAGACTGAGTGGTCTGTAATTCCCTGGGTCACCCATTTTCCCCTTCTTGGAAATGGGGGTTATATTTCCCTTTCATCGGGAACTTCACCTGACTGCCATGTTTTTTCAAATATGATGGACAGTGGCTTAGCAGCTTCATTCACCAGCTGCTTCAAGACCTGTGGATGGATTTCATCAGGTCTCGTGGATGTTCCGATTCTTAAGATGGTCTCAAACCAGAACCTCTTCTAAATTGCTGTCCCATGGAATTGCTGTGGACTTCTGCATTCTTGGTAAAAAAGATACAGATCTCTTTTGTTTCATTTACTCGTATCTATACAACCAAAATAAAGATTATAACATTTTGATCCATAAAAGGCAGTAACTAACAATAACATTTTGGATCTATTGTACATTATGAAGTCTTCATTTCTTACGCTTAAGCCTTATGTTTGGCACTAGAATGAGTTGCTCTGGTGGAGTGTTTAAGATGTATATTTCTCAAACCAGCTTTTGTACTCAGTTTATTGTTTGGACCATGCAAACAATTTGGGAGGCCTGGTTCACAAACACAGAGCTCAGCAGCCAGGAAAAGTTTAAGAAACCAATAGTGAGAAGGAGAACTCAGTTTTACAAAGAAACCAAGCAAGCATCATGCCTTCAGATCTCCAGCATGAGAAGTGTGATTTTGTAATTGCTTCTTTTGTTTTTCCACAGAATCATTAGGAACAGACAGCTGCTCCCAAGTTTTATATTTCATGGATTTTTCACAACTGAGGATTATGTCATCTTGGGTTGTTTTTTTTCCTAGTAATACTAATTTGCCTACATTTGAATCTAATAATAGTTTATTAAACCTGGCATGTGGCAAAGCAGAATCTTAGTGATGGAAAGTTTGGGATTCGTTTCCATTAGCAGTTTGAAGATATCCATGTCATACTAAGTTGTCTTATGCAGCAAGTTGTTCGGTTGTAAGCTGCTTCTGCCAGAGACTTTGTTTATGGGAAAAAGTAATCTGGCTGTGAGAACTAGACTTATTTCAAAGTAATGGACAAGAACTATGTCTCTGATCCCCAATATAAGCTTTTTCCAGTCACTTTGGAGAGATTAGATGTCTCTTAACATCATCTTACTAGCAGTGAAGTTGCTCCTAAAGGACTCCTTTAATCATATTAGTTTCACTGCCATCACCCCGTCTTCAGATTCTTTCTTCTTTCCTAATAGAACCAAATCTCCTTTTGCCATCTATGAGGTCCAACATTAATGCTCCTTTGCATGTTAATTACTGTTACTTTACCCTACTTCAGCCCCCTAGCTATTTACTCCCATTTTGAATCCAAAGACTTGGATTTGTTACTTTTTCCATGTGGCAGTAGAAAACACTATATTGTGCTATTTCACTTTTCTAACAGCTTTGTATAAGAGTTACTGATTATAGAACAAAGTAAAGGAGAAAGATGGAACAGCTGAGTTAAGAATTCATGTCTCTATGGCTTGTAATATGATTTATAAATGGATTTACCCTGTATTATAAGAAATTAGCCTTAACTCCATATCCTATATATTTAATCAAACTTTTTGGGAAAATAATACCTCAGTTTAACTTATACAGGGAGAAACAAAGTTTAAGAAGTATTTTGTTTTAAAAAAGAAGGAATGAAAACCAAAAGAAAGCAGTGGTGGAGGGGGAATGAGGTCTCCAAAAGAGCGCTCTCAGATGAAAAGATAGTTGTTACTGTTCCAGGCAGGACTTGAGTTGGAACAGCTCTTAAAAAAGCCAAAGTCTGTGTATGTCAGGTTAGAACTTGGACTGTATCATCCCATGGAAACTGGAGTTATTAACCGCATTGACTTAGCATTGCTTAGGTTTAGTAAAAGCCAGTTAGGCTGTCCTTTTATGCTCTTGAGGTTAAATCATTTTCTGAAAGAATTACAAAAGTACATTATAGATTATAATTGCAAACTAAAATGCACTTTACATTTTTAATCTGTATACAGATTTAATAAAACAATTAAACATATGTAGAGGAAAAGATCAGGAAAGGAAGGAAAGGATCTAGTGCAGATTATACTATATGAAACATATGTTTGAGATGATGTTGATAGAGCTGAAATATGTGGCCTGTGTTATACTTCTGTATACAAATGATGTGCTCATTCCTACTCCACGCATGCACACACGCAATTTTACCTTGGACATAGTAGGGAATAATGCCAGTGAGTAATTAGGAAAGCATGGAAGCAAAAGTCAGTCCTGTGCTAAGTTTCTGAGATGGTTGATATTATTTAATACATATTACAGCTGTGATAGTTGAAGGACACAGCTGAAGGTTTGAGGGGAACCAACATGACTTTTATTGCACCATAGAGTTCAAATAGTTGGAAAAAAACAGGCAGACTTTCAAGCCTGGATTTTCCTCTCTCAGATCACAGTATTTATAACAATCTGTCTTGGGATATTAATGTACAAGGTGATATATCTGATAGTCATTCACTTCCCAACTTTGGTCAGAAATGAATGTTTCTTTTTCAAAGCTTTGTAGTAACGTCATTCTCAGAGATGGCAAATAGGCGGTTTAGCTGGATACAGGCAGTATATTAAAAATGTCTGAACAAGAAAAATAGTAGTTGGAGAGATCAGGGCTCTATCATCAGTAACTGACATTCCAGGGCAATGGGATCTTTAAATATACAGTAATTTTCATCAGACTTTCTTGTGAAACCTGTAATAAACTGGAGCTGAGCCGCCTACATTTGTTTGCTAGAACATCAGTCTCTCATCTCTATATTGTCACATCCTTTAGGAAGGAATTCCAGGGAGCTGCAAAGTTACTTGTGAAGCAGGGAGGGAAAGGGGATAATGCTGTGTGAGGCTTTTAAGGAAGATGCTCATTTTCCGAATTTATGAATGAAAACATACATGTGCTTGCAACATCACACATTCCACTTACCTGTAAGGACATCTGCAACATCCAGATGCAATGCTCTTATACTGCATTTGAGAAGCTACAGAAGACATACACTTCGAAAAGTGACCAGGAAGAGTTACTTGGAAGTGTATATCTGAAGTAATAAATGTATACTCTACTGCTACTGGACAGCAGCTATGTGTATTCTATATAATCCAGGAGTAACACAGCTTTACTGGAGATAGATTTCATTCTTCACCCTCCTGAGGTCCCCCATGGAAGGCAGGCAGTGAGATACTATTCTGCTGCCGCTCTACAGCTCCACCTTCTGCATCCCACAACATAGTTTGCTCCCAAGAGCTGAAGGGTAATGTAAAAGAGAGTTGTGGATTCTGAAGCCTGTCTCTTGCATTTTGAAGGTCGGATATCTTATCTCTATTGTGTTTGCAGAGATTGAACGGTTCCCTGCACTGGTGTCATCCTCTCTCAGTGTGTTCTGGTTCCTCACCCAGAGGAGGACATTTTTTGATACAATCCTGGTGTACATTATGATGAAATACAGCCTATAATCTGTAGCAATGATTGGCAGTACGCTGGTATCTTCTTAGAAGGCAGCAGGTCATTTCTTAAGGGAAAAAACCCCATGCTTAGGGTTAGGGTTAGGACATTACATAATGGACGGTGTATGTAGTGATTATATGCCACAAACTATGGGGCACCTCCTCCAAAACAGTAAATCTTGCTCTATGTATGCTTTAGGCAGGGAGGATCTGTATTCATCTACATGTATGAAGAGAAGGGGAAGAGCAGTAAGAGAAGCCAAGAAAAAGGATAGAGAATCCTTTGAGTCTGCTCCCTACCCCAGCTGGCAGCCTGAGAAAATCGAGTGGGTTTTGTTTTGGAGGTGTGGGGTTTATTTCCACTTTGTTTGTTCTTTGTTTCAGGTTATCTGTGATATGGAGAACCAAATCCACAAACTGAAGGAAGAGCTTATTCAGGTGAACACTCAGCGGAAGCAGCAGCTGCTGGAACTGGGCCATCAGTGGGAAGAGGAGAAGCAGAGGGCAGCTCGAGACCATGAGGTGGCACTGAACAAGTTGAAAGTGGAGGCAGAAAAAAGGATGTTAGACCTGAAAAGGATACATACAGCAGAAATGGAGAAGGCTTTAGATAAGGTGAGAGGTTCATATAGCTTTGCTTCTTGTGGTCTGGCCAAAGGGGAGGAATCACCCCAAAAGCCAGACAAGTGAAGTTTCACTGAGGAAAACTGTTTAGGGGTCACTTGAGTTGGAAGAACAGATGTGTACTTTAGATCTGATCTTGGATGCCACAGGCATGGCTTCTCCCTGCCTGTGAAGGGCAGCAGTGGCTGCTGTATCTGTTCTCCCTGTGAGCAGAGCTAGGGCAGCCCCTTCAAGCCATGTGGAGTGCAGAACAGGAACGACCACAGCACTTAGGAGCTGACGGGATTGAAAAATCTACATGATTTCAAAGGCAAAGCCAGCCAAGGACTAGGCTGGTCACTTGTCCTTTGCTGGAATAGATGGAGTAGAAAGGGCAGTTCCATCTAACCGAGCTTTTTCCTCCTGTAAAAAGAGGAGAAATTCTTAAGGAGGAAAAATTTCAGGCAAGGAAATTGGGAGCTGGTAACAATGGTTGGTCTACTTCTGCCTGTGTGCATGGGGTGAGCAAGGCCTTTGTGAAAGGCTTGAGAATACAGATTAATGTTACATCAGATAACAAATATATCAAGCCTTCTCTGTTCACTGGGGTCACTGAGTGCGCATCCCCTTGTAATGGGGTCTGAATTCAAGTATTTCCCTACATTCAGGATGATATGAGCTAAACCATGTGAGTTTTCTTTCAAAAGCTAAACTAAAAAAACTCCTTACTTAATATTTATGGTAGACACTGTGTATATATAAGCAGGGAGTTGTTGAGGTATCTTTTATATGCATTAATGTAATAAATAATACATTTCATTGCAAAGCGATGTACAGTGGCACAAATTAACAATCTACAGAGAGTGTTTGAACAGCCTTTGTGAAAGTGACATTTCATTTACCTGCGTCAGGTTCTTGGTCTGTAATTTTAAGCAGCGTTTGGAGGATTATGTTGGAAATCACCCAGCCTGAAGCCATTAAAATGGCTGTGATCAACAATTCACAATCTTTTCTGAATGTAAGGAAAGCTCCGCTTGGCATAATTATTTAAAGCCAAGGTCACAGAAAGTATTTAAACCTTTGAAATTCATCATTAAAGGATTAATTTTAACTCAGGAAGACATTGTCATTTTTGCTTAAAAATGGAATTTGAATCTCAATTCTTTTCTTTCTTTGATCTTTTCTTACATGTGTAGTATAGCAAAAGAAAAGTTAACTTCTTTACATCCTCAAATTAAAGTTACAAATAATCCTTCATAGGGCAATATCTTTAATAGTCTTGAATTGTCAGTTCTGTCAGAAATACTATTTTTTTTAATTTGGTGGATTTTTTTCCTATTTTTCCAAAGAAATTGCTAATTTGAAGCTGTATTAGCTGCTATTGAATTATTTTTTATTATTTAACCTACTTCCCTATTTTTACTTCTAATGAGAAGAGCACATGTTGAGTAAAAGAGAGGAGGAGGGGAAAAAGGTATCTTTGATGGAAAGTCTCTCACAGACACGTGAAAATACCCTGCAGTACCTTCAAATCTTCATTTACCCTTCTGTTTCATTTCTGTCTTCTGTATGTAGAGCTGTGGAAATTGGCTGCAAAGTCCAAAAGTCAAAGTAGCTTAGAGAGCAAGCTCCATTTACAGCTCAAAAGTTACAGTTTCAGCTAACCTAGTTCAAATCTTGATCCTATTAAAGTCCACAGCACTCGGATAAAATCTCCTTCATCAAAGGGGGGGGGGGGAGGGAAAGCATCTTTTTTGCAGCATGAGTCTCCTTTTATTTTTCTAGCGAATCTTCTTGTCCTGAAATTTAAGATAATCTGGGAGAAAAAATTCTCCTCTGAATTTACTTTTTTCCCTTGCCAGTTCTTTAAAGATTGCTTAAAAATCCAAGGGGAAGCTGAATTTTACTGTTACGGTTGGAACATCTGACTGTCCATATTTTCTGAAGGTCAGGCCATTCCCAAGTGAAGGATCTCATCCTTGTGGTCTGTTTTGTGAGTTAGAACAGTGATTTCTGTGTGGATTGCTTTGTGTAATTGTGCACTGTTGTGCACATGAACATGATTAAATGGAAATGAAATGGCTGGCACTTAACTGAAAGGTAAAAATGAGTAGAAGGAGATAGAGAATTCCGATGGCATTGCCCTCCCCATATCCCTGCTTCAGTGGGGATGTGAAGGGGGAGAGGGGAGCAGAGAGGGAGGAACAGTTTTCATTGTAAGCACACTGGACACTTAAATAGCTGTTGGTATTTTTAGACAGCTTTTCAATCTTAGGGACACATAATTTACTGAGGTCTTTAGTTTTCTCTTGCTTAAAAATCTCAACTTTAAAGGTAGTACATTGCTTATTGTAGTGTGTATTTGATTTTGTTAGTGATTCCAGCATATGATGCTAGAAAGTTGCTCAACAAGCATACTACAGTAATGTTTTTGAACCTGTGATTTTAAAAGCAAGTATCTTTTGACAGTTACTGCATCTCCCAGTCCCTAGGGAATGATAAGTGGGAAGGCTGTAGAGAAATCAGGAGTGAAGTTAAGCTAGGTGTTGTGGAAAAAAAGTATCCCAGACAAAACCAGGATACCTGGAAAGAAAGGAGGGGTGGGAGGAAGGTGTTTTAAGATTTGGTTTCTTCCCTCACTATCCTGCTGATTTGATTGGTAATAATTTAAACTGAAGTCGAGTCTGGTTTGCTTGTGACACCCCCAGTAGCTACTCTGCTCTTGCTGGGGCAGGGCAGGAATTCGTCCGCAGCCTTGGGTTTTTGCTGCAGTTCAGTCACATGTAATCATCTTATTGCTCACCTTTTGAGATGTAACATGGTAGTTATATTAGAACACATACCCACCTTCTAGGGTAAGGATAACAAATGTTAATGTCCTTAAGGTCGGGTAAGCCATGCCAGACATAAATGAGACAAAGCTGATAGCATGGAGAAATTGAAACTGCACTTATCATGTTCTGAGGACTTCAGTACTTCCATAATATCTGTTATCTGTCTCTAACATAAAAATGACTTCAGAATAGCTCCAATTTATTTCTTGACTATTAGTTCAGAAATCTTAAGTATCATTTCAGAAGCAGACTTGTATTCAAGCATAATGATTTTGATTTACATTTAAATAATAGATTTAATACACTTGCATTGTGTGGTATCAAATGATTATCACATTTTCTGATATGATGGTAATTTTATTTCTTTTATTTGACTCTATATCTCATTATAATGAAACAAAACATAAATTGTTTAAGAAATAAACATATTAGAGTATACAGAGTACTGTAGTTGGATTCCACTAATGACTGATTTCAGCAGGAGGCAGGTGTGTTGTACGTTGCATCAGCAGCATTTATGGCACAAACACGAATCAGCCAGGTGTAATGGACTGCACAGAGCTGATGAGCGTTTTCAGGTTTGCCAGAAATTGCTAAAAGCAAGAGACAAACTGCATTTCTAAGTGTGTGCAGATGTGAGGCTTGGCTAACACCACTGTTTGTAACATTCAACTGTGGTATTTTCTTGGCAAAGAAGATGAGTGTTCAGAAAGCACGACCCGAGCAGATCAGCTAACGATGCTCCAAGGAAGCAACCTTGGAACAATGATAGTATCCCATAGAAAAGCTCTTTGAGCAGCACACATGAGTAAATTAGAGTGGGACAAAAAGGTGTGGTGAGGTTTTTTTTCTTCTCTAAATAATTTTCAACATTTAGCTTTTTATTGACTTCTTTTCTGTGCTTAAATAGGTATCTTGAGTCATCATGTTAAATCTTTACGTAGGTTCCAGGAACAGCTAATTCTCTTCCAGTGCTGCTTTTCTTGTGGAGAAATAATAGACATTTTTGCGTATTGACTGTACTGAACACAGATGAGATTTGATTACAGGATGAAGCTGTAGTCAAAAAAGTCAAACACTTTAGTTTCTGGGCTGCAGCTCTTCTGATATCAGGACAGTGGTAACATACTTCAATCTGGAGAGATAGGACTCCAGAATGGCAGTGCAGCCTGCCCAGAGCAAGGCAAGTCATGCCTGAAGACTTTAATGATGGAGCAGTTAGTTGTAGTCTGAGATTTCTATTATTTTAAGTAAGTATGGACATTTACAATGTTTTATAGTCTATACCTGTTGCAATCACTCCACCAATGTCTGGTGGGAAGTCAAAACTGAAATGCCAAGGGAATTCAAAGATCACTTGTAAGTGACCACTTCCCTAATTAAGAATAAGTATTCTGTTTAATAGGTATGGTTTAATATCATGGCTTTGTAACAGGGCCTTTTTCAAAGATTGGAAGACAGTGGCCTATAACTGGAAGCTGCTTCATTTTTGAGCAGCTTCTACTTGCATGCAGTTGGCAAATAAGGTACTAATAATATGTTCCAGACAGCAAGTTAGTCCTTCCTTTAGCGTCAAGCTTTGCGATGCTGGATTAATTAACTAGTACAGCCCTAGGATGGGGTCCAGTTGGACATATTCACTGGGCATATTTTCATACTGCATATGTAGGAATACCTTTATTCACAGTATCTGTTCTGGCACTGGACTCATATAGATGATGTCACACTGTTCAACACTGGCGAAGAAATAGAAGATGAAGGGAAAGAATATGACATCTTCAGAGATTCAAGAGATACTAATAAAGTATTGAGTTTCCCCTAAGCGATTAAGTTACTTCTGCTTATAAAGAATAAGCATTGCATGCTTTCCATTAGCTTACATTATTCAATACTGTCTCTGTAGCTCTTGTTCTTCTCTGCCAACTCTTTGTTTCATTAACTACCAAAAATGATTTCATCTTTGTATTAAGACGTTCTGGGAAGGGGACCATCTCTGCAACAATTCCATAGGTTCTTGTGTAGACTTCTGAGCATAAAGGAGCCTTTGATCTGAGTGACACCTTTCACTTCATTAACTTGAACAATAATAGCCATAGGACAGACAGCTTCATCTGTGTGAGCATCCAGATGAACTATTTCCACATTCATTGTGGTGATACCCTGGTTATTTACATGGGG